GACACAGAAATACCTCTAGATAAGCGAGAAGATTGCTTCTAAACCTTTTCCCCTATAAATCTCCTGTTTTCCGTCCCCTCCTACTTAGCCATTTCTTTCTGTGATGGCGTGTTCTTCTTTAGTGAGCAAAGCAAGCTATCCTCCAATGGTTTAAAGCGCGCCATTGTCCACAGAAAAATTGGAAAATTTCTTCTCTTGACTATTCCACGCAATTCGAAACGTGATATTGTTTTTATCGCACCAGCCTCCCAGAAATTGTAAAATACGATGTTGGTTTGCCGGAACACGGTCTAACGACTTTTACCCGTCCTTTTTCAATAAAAATCAGAGAGGAATTGATTTAACACTTTAAAAAGTAAAACCTCCTATATGAAATGGAAGGAGAAAGAGAGGAGGAGGAGAGGCAGATTTATCCCTCACCTCATCCACATGTCTTTTGGTACCTTTTCGAACTGCATGCGAGGAACTCTGTTCTTTCCGACTCTTTTTTGCAGGTGGTCCATGATGTTCGCTTTGCACAATACTTAGCACCGGCTCATCATCATCAAATAATTCATCATATAGTCTTGGGAATAAAGCTGTGGATGGTAGTAGAAATAGTGGCATTACTGGGACAATTGCAGGAATATGAAGTCTAGGCCGTAGAGCGTGCAACTCACACTCAAACACTCGGACGCACACGCACACACACACGCAGCAGGCAAGAAAACATCTCGCTCGATAAATTTGTTGACGGCGTTCGTCGTATGGTCGTTCGTCGTCCTCGCCGTCGTCGTCGTCCCTCTTGCATATCGTATCGAACGAGCCGTTGAGGGGTGTGCAATCAGAATAGAGCAACGTTTCGCGAAATTTCCATTGCAAAAAGGTTTCCTGGCTGTTAGTGCGTTTGTGCTTCAGTGTTGACTGCGCTCCTTGACACAGCTCTGTACTAGTCCTTATATCTACACAAAATAACCCCATATCGCTCGATATTCCCAAAGCGTTAAAGAATAACCTCCTTTCCTCCGCTTATTTTCCTTCAACCTCGCGATCTTTGTGTTTATACTTTGTGTAAAAGTCCTTTAACTTTGACGCGAGAAAAACGTG